TATCCTAGGAAAACTACTAAGATCCAGCTAGGCAATAGGCTGAGGTACGAAACATGTCGATGAATTTGACGGGGATGGGAAAAGGAAGAGGGGAGTGGCTGGGAGGAGGTGGGGGGACTGGTGAGGGAATGGGAGGGAGGGAGGTATTAGTATGGGACGATAAGGGCTAACCGCGGGATCTGCACTTGAAATCCGGGTTAGGCCCACAACCAGCACTTTGCGGGGACGGGCTGCCCTCAAAGCCAACCCTTAAAATTCGGAAGCTGGGCCGGACCCAACCCTTAATGTTCAGGGCATTAAGGGCATTTGCCCTTGAATCGTCAGCCCTGCTGGGGCTACCCTTCCCCCTCCGCCGCCACCCTGCCCCAACCCCGCTCGCACAACCCCGCAGACTTGTCTTGCTTGAAACACTGCTCACACATGGCGATCCCACCATGTCAGAGAGGAGACCGACGAAATGGAATGCGGCAACGAGACGAAAAAACGACACCGCCAAGAGAGAAGCGCCGACGCGCCGCCAGACGCCGTGCGGCCGCGAGTCGCGCCGTGCGCCCGTGAGTCGCGCCCGAAGAGGCGACGCGGAGCGCCATTCGCCACCACTCGCCGTCATGCGTCGCCATTCCTCGCCAGGCGTCGCATCCGCATACGTCGCCGCGCGTCACTGCCCGTGCGTCAGCTTCTGCAGGAAGAAAGCAAAGCAAACACGTTAGAACGTAGGAACATCAGCTCAATATGCTAAACTGCGCGTCAAAGGTCCGCGACACATTACCTCAGGTCGAACGAGGCCCTGCTGGTAGCGAATCTTCGAAAGATACGCGCGACGGACGAAGTGACGCCACCCGTCACCGCCGACAGTCAAGAAGCTTGAGACGATGCGCTGCTGGTAACGAATCTCCGCTGGCGTGATCCGCGCGACGGACGAAGTGGCGCCACCGGTCACCACCAAGAAGCCACCTTCGGTCGCCAAGACAGTCGCCAAGACCGTCGTCCAGATCTGCAGGAAGAAAGGAAGTACATTAATACTGAATATAGTTACTAAGAAGAAGGAAAGTTGACTTGAAAAGAGGAAATTGTCAGAGGTCCACTGGTGATCTCCGATTGATCCTAGGGAAGGGTTACAGGCATGTTGGCCTGGGGGGTTATGGGCGCACTGACCCGCTACTTAACAAGCCCTTTTATCCCAATGGTCTAGTGGTTGGGATTCTGACATGGTATCAGAGCGAAGGTCTCGGGTTCGAATCCCAGTGTGTGCACTTCGGGCATCCCAGTGCGGGGGAGTGTCAGAGGTCCACTGGTGATCCCCGATTGATCCTAGGGAAGGGTTACAGGCATGTTGGCCTGGGGGGTTATGGGCGCACTGACCCGCTACTTAACAAGCCCTTTTATCCCAATGGTCTAGTGGTTGGGATTCTGACAGAAATTACTCACCCGACCCGAGCGGCAATCATCTACGTTGGTGACGTGAGGCGCGCCATCGACGGTAGAAGCGTTCACGGTGAGCAGGAAAGCTTTCTCCGCTGGCGCGACGGACGGACGAAGTGGCGTCACCCGTCGCCACCAAGAAGCCACCTTCGGTCGCCAAGGCGGTCGCGCGGGTCTGCAGGAAGAAAGGAAGTACATTAGTACTGAAAATGGTATTTAGGAAGACGGAAAGTTGACTTGAAATGGAGACTTTACTCACCCGACCCGAAAATCTTGTCCGCGAAGAAGAACCTGGCGACGTGAGGCGGCAGACGGTCGCCAAGATAGTCGGTGAAGCTTTCACACTTAATCGCCAAGACGGTCGCCATGACAGTCGCCGGGGTCTGCAGGAAGAAAGGTAGTACATTAGTACTTGAAATGGTAAATAAGAAGACGGAAAGTAGACTTTACTCACCCGACCCGAACGGCATCTCTTGGCGAGCGCGTCTCGGTGCATGTCGGTCCCTTGCGACATTGACGGTAGAAGCTTCGCCTAGGGTCATCCGGCAGAATCGTCGTCGCCGACTTTAGACTCGTCGTCGTTGACGGTTTAGTCGTTCACGCAAGTGCCATTATCGGTCGCCAAGACGGTCGCCAAGACGTCCGCGAAGGCGTAAAGAAGAAGAAGACGGTCGCCAAGACGGTCTTCTTGCAGGTCTGCAAGAAGAAGGCGGTCACATTAGTACTAGAAAATATAAATCCAACGAAAGACGGAAGGTTAACTTAGAAGTAGGAATCACTTACCCCAACCTGGCCGCCGCGTCTCGGATCGGCGAAGATAGTCCTCTCGATGACAGCGTCGGCGATCGTGACAGCATCGCCGATCGTGTCCGCGACGCGATCCAAAGGTCCTGATTGACTCCCAAGTCGGCGTTTTCAAGTCGCCAAGACGGTCGCCAGATCTGCAGGAAGAAGGCAACAGATTGGTGTTAGACAGCGATATAGAAGAAAGAAAGTGAACATCTAGCTAGAGCTGAGAAAACTGAGAAAATGAAGGGAATGAAGGAAAACGTTTGAGCTGTACTTCGCTTACCTCGGCGACGGTCGAAGCGCCATCGGCGACGATAGTTGGCAAGGCCGGGCTTAGGTCCTTGCATCCGGAGCTTGAAGCGCCAACGGCGATGGTGAGATTCACCGATCGGCGAGAATCACTTGAATGCGTTTTTTCCAAAGGTCAAAGTGCCATTCCGCAAAAGAAGCGATGGTCGAAACTCCTATCCACGTCCGGCTTAACGGTCGAAGCTCCTATCGCCAAGACGGTCGCCAAGAGGTCTGCATGGAAGCAAGCAACAGGTTAGTGTTTGAACAATGCTGAGCGATTAAAACTTAAGAACTTTAACCGGCCAAATACGGTTGCAGGAAGAAGTTGAAAAAAGGTTGCACTTACTCCCACTCGACTGTCTTCGTGAGACGGTTGGGGAAGGCCACTTGAAGCGCTTGCGTTGACGGCTTGAAGCCGTGAAGGTCTCGCCTTGGAAGATTTTTGCCGTGAAGATTTTGCGGGTGAAGACCTTGAAGTGAAGATCTTGGCGTAAAGATCTTGGAGTGAAGATCTTGGCTTGAAGATCTTGCGGGTGAAGAGCTTCATAAAAACCGGGTGTCGTAGACAGCTCAAGTCTCATTGTCGGCGCTGCGAGTCTCGCCAAGATAGTTGCCAAGAGGTCTGCGGGAGGAAAACAACAGATTAGCAGCTGAACAATGTTGAATATTTTAAAGCTTAACCTGCCAAAAACAGTTGCAGCAAGAAGTTGAAAAACAAATGGACTTACCGTCTGGTGAGACTTGTCTTGGCGGCAGCGAAGAGGAAGGCCGCGCCAGCAGGGGAGGCACAAAGCGACACCTGAAGCTCTTGAAGCTCTTGCAGCAGCGATCTTGGAGCGGAGTGGTCTCGCCATCAAGATCCCGCCGCGAAGATATCTCCGTGGAAGTGTTTGGCAGAGAAGATCCCGCCATGCAGATGTTGCGGTGATATCTTGAATTCGTCGCGGTGAAAACATTTCCGCGAAAACCCGGTTTTGTAAATGGTTCAGCCTTAGGCACTTGGCAGCTCGCTCAGACTCGACTCTAATCTACCCAACCCACCCCACCCACTCTAATCTACACGAGACTCTAATCTACACGACCTCACGCTGCCGCATGCCTAGGCTTTCCCCATTCACTAGCCGGGTGGCTTCAGATAGGGTTTGCTCCGAGGAGCCTGAAGTCCAAATTGAGCTCAGTAAGTTGGAGCTTTACTGAAAATCCTTCATTGAATTCGTGAAGGAAGAAACTGGAAATGAACGGCATGAATGGGACTTTATACAGGAGCAGAAGTGAGTTGAGAGAGTGAGGAGGATGAAGCATGGTTCCGCACCGCGGATGAATGAATTCAATTCTGTTGTTTAGCGGCGCCACGGCGCGAAACAGTGCAGTTCCAACCCAAATGTGGGTCAACGCTGTAGAAGTGGCTGAAAATATTCTCTGTCAGAATGGGTCAATCCTACAGTGGCGAATTCAAAATCCCCGCCTAGAAGTTGCAATGACAGCATTGTCGGCTTGACAGAACAAGCCGAGCCGCATGGTTTAGCAATGTACATCTCTTTCGCAAACTGGTTGATTTTGAAATTCATGTTTGTGTTGCTCTTTCTGCAAACGAATCTGCTGAGGGCGCGTATTGTGTGGGAGAGGTTGGTTGAGGACCGTGGGTATCGAAGAAGTGTGGCCTGGGGCAGGCTCGAACTTTTTAGGAGGTGGTGGACGTGGCGCTTTTCTAAATAATATCGAGTTTTTGTGAAAGTTTGGCGTAAGGTGCGGGACGGCGGAGGATAGTTAGAAAATTCCTGCGAGGCGCGGGAAGTTTAGGCTGTTTTCGCGAATATTTTTCCCCTCCGAACCTCACCTGGGCAGCTGAATTTACAAATGTGATCCTGAAGGCATTTCGCAAGCCAATAGGAATGAAAGGTGCTTCCACGGCAGCACGGAATGTTTCTGTCATGCTCGCGCAACCACCAAGGCTTTGAATCAACAACCCCGACCTCACAATTTCTCAAAAACTGCCATACCTATTCGTATAATTCGGCATTGTGCAGTTCTAATAGCTAGTTCCGTTAGATCAAAGCAGCGACAATTAGTTCTCCCATCACCGTACATCTCGCTACCCTCGCTTACTGATGTTGGAGGCGAAAGCGGTAGTTATTTTTCACATGGAATCCCTAATCTTGTTGCAGTAACTAGATAGATCTCAGCACCGTCGCTAGCTAGTTTCGATCGCGCTTCATTCCTACTTTCGCCGTTTCAGACATCTAGTGCGGTTACTATTGCTGATTTTAGGAAAGCGCTGTTAGTTGTTGTCTCCAGATTCCCGCCAGTAGTGGCAATTGGCGTTTACCCGTACTGGTAGGATCTGACGATTTTTTAGCTTGTGTATTTTGCGGGCTTTAGTAGTGGCAATTGGCATGCACATTCGTAACGTGCATGTGCGGTGCGACTTTTTGGTTCGAAGAAACAGAAATGGGGAGGCATTCGCTAGTTCTATCACTGGAGACTTATCATGCAAACGCATGCAAGCCACATTAGCCCGACTAATGCGCAAAACTGTGGAAAAGGGGATGTCGGGAGGGGAGGGGAGAGGTAAGGGAGCGGAGGGGGGGGGGAATGGACTGGTGGAAGTCCTTATTTGAGGCGAGTAACATAAATCTAAGAAAGGAGAGGACTGGCGACAGGTGACAGGTGGAGTGGCCTCGTTCCCCTAATTTATCCCCCGTTTCCCTCCCTGCGCTTTCGTCCCCCTACCTCCCCACTCTTCCCCTGACCTTGCCTAGAAACGTCACGCGTTTCTCATCCCCCACGCTCTCTCCTCATCTCCCCCGCTCTCCCCCACACCTCCCCGCCCTCCCCTCATTAGCCTGCGTGTGCTGCTTATCCCCCCGTGCTCCCCTTCTCCGCCCTTGTGCACCCACCCCTCATCTCCCCTCCGCTCACCTCTCGTCCCCCCCCCCCCCTCGCCCCCTTCCCCCCTCTTCCCCCACCTCGCACCCAGCCCTCATCACTCCGTCCCCTCTCCTCCCAACCCCCACCCATCTCCCCTCATTCCGTCCCCTCCGCTGCTTATCCACCCGTGCTCCCCTTCTCCGCCCTTGTGCACCCACCCCTCATCTCCCCTCCGCTCACCTCTCGTCCCCCCCCCCCCCCCTCGCCCCCTTCCCTCCTCTTCCCCCACCTCGCATCCAGCCCTCATCACTCCGTCCCCTTTCCTCCCACCCCCCACCCATCTCCCCTCATTCCGTCCCCTCCGCTGCTTATCCACCCGTGCTCCCCTTCTCGACCCTTGTGCACCCACCCCTCATCTCCCCTTCGCTCACCTCTCGTCCCCCCCTTCACCCTTTTCCCCCCTCTCCCCCCTCATCCTCCCCCGCCCCCCCCCCCCCCCGCCCTCCTTCCGCTTTCCCCCACTCTCCCCTCATCTGCCCCAACCCATTCGCTCCTCATTCGCATCCCCCATCCATCCCTCACTCCAGGCATCCCCCATCCATCCCTTTCTCCAGGCAACCCCCCACCTTCACCCCTGCTCCCTCCCCCCCCCCCCCCCCCCCCAATCTCTCATTCCACCTCCACTCACCCCTCATCTCCTCACGGCTCTCCTCCAATTCCCTCCACGCCCCTCTCCTGCTCAATCCCTCATCCCCCCCCCCCACCCCCACCACACCCCCCGTCACCTCTGCTGCTACTTGTCTTTGCTCCGTCTCTTTTGGTAATTGCCTTAGCTAGGTATGCGTCAGTTGTGTCAGTGAGCTCCTTTGACTACCGTATGTAACTTCTTGCTTTTACTTACACCTGACCTCTCAGCGGTTCTCTGTGTGACAGCTTGACATCCCATCCCAGCATGCCATTTGACGACTCAGCTGCCTGGTTTGGCACGTGTTGCTGCACGAGATGTAACTGCTGTTGGTCGTGCATCTTTTACCCACTAATTTGTCAAATAAGGGGATTCCTAAATCCTTGTGGCACTGTATGTGTGATTGTTAGTGATTGCAGTATATATCTGACCCAGCTGCTGCTGTGTGGGACTGCTTGTGTTGCAACATTTAGCGCTGAGTACAGAATGAGATACCACAATTATTCCCTTGTATATAACACCCTGACAAAACAAGCTTCCCTATGAGGATCCTGTGAGCACAATGTATCTGGCATTACATGATTCATCAATGACCTGTCCTTGCAGCTTACTCCAGAATCACTAGAAAAGGTTGCCAGTATAGAGGTAAAGAAGCACATCTGCTGAACAAAAAAAGGACTTGAATTCACTTAACTTCCCGTCGCCTTTTAGATGGTGCTCCCTTCCGCGCCCGTCGCCAATGCTTACTCTGAGTGTAGCCCACGGTCTTCCTTCATGTCGCTCGCCGCTTTCCCTTCCCGCCATCATCGCTTTCCCATCCCGTCGCTTTCCTTTCAAGTTCAGAATTTCTGAAGTCTTGCCAGTCTAGACTCGGGCTTTACACCATCTTTGCGTTTCCTGTCAGAGAAGTTGTGGTTCATATTGAGGTTCCATTTTTTGGGTTTAGGGTTTAGGGTTTCAGAGAGACTAAAAAGCAGCAGAGAGACCAAAAGGAAATCAGTCAAAAACAGAGTACACAGGCAAGCACCGCTATGGTTCTACGTGCAAAACCAAGCAGCAGACTAAGGCACTACTGCTTGCTCCATTACCCTAAAGACTCATTTCGAATCGGTGAAATCGGCATCAATCACGTCGTTTGGGTTGCCGCCAGCAGCACCGCCGGGTGTGGGACCGGCACCGGCACCAGGAGCAGCACCATCAGCGCCGGGGGCACCTCCTTGAGAGTACACGGCTTGACCAAGCTGTATGGGACGAGGAGAACGTGACAAGACAGCAGGAGCATGTTCGTTGTTAGAACCAGTCAGCATGTAATCATATCGCACATGAAACCTGTCATGAACTGACAGACACCCCAACCCTGATTCCTCCACCCTCAGTCATCTTCCTACCCATTCCATTCCCATCCCTTCATCATTCCCAACTTGACATTTTCCCAACCCATATCCACCATATGAGCATCACCACACATATTATTCTCACACCTGCACACCCACTTTCACCCACTCTTACCTTCATGACCTCCTGGTTGAGGTCGTTCATCTTGTCCTTGATCGCCTGGATGTTATCCCCGCCCGCCACAGCCTTCAATGTTACCCCATACACATCAGTCACACACCCCCTTCCACTCTCGTACCTTCATGACTTCCTGGTTGAGGTCGTTCATCTTGTCCTTGATCGCCTGGATGTTATCCCCGCCCGCCACAGCCTTCAGATCCGCGACCTTCGCCTCAACGCCTGCCTTCACCTCCGCAGGAACCTTCTCTGCAAGCTCCTTGAGCTGCTTCTCTGTCTGGTAGATCATGGAATCAGCCTGGTTCTTCACATCAACCGCCTCTCTCTTCTCCTTGTCCTCCGCTGCGTATTTCTCTGCCTCCTCAACCATCTTAGACACCTCGTCCTTGGGAAGGGTTGAAGCGCCCGTGATGGTGATATCCTGCTTCTTGCCTGTGCCCTTGTCCGAAGCTTGCACTGACAGGATACCGTTCGCGTCGATGTCAAACCGGACCTCAATTTGCGGGATGCCGCGGGGAGCGGGAGGGATACCGTCCAACCGGAAGCTTCCGAGGGACTTGTTATCGCGGACAAACTCACGCTCGCCCTGAAGCACATTAATCTCCACACTCGTCTGCCCGTCAGCCGCAGTCGAAAACACCTCGGATTTCGACGTGGGGAGCGTCGTGTTCCTCGGGATAATCTTCGTCATCACCCCTCCGAGCGTCTCCAGGCCGAGAGACAGCGGAGTGACGTCCAGAAGAACGATATCCGACACTTCACCCGCCAGCACTCCGGCTTGCACGGCGGCGCCGAGAGCGACCACCTCGTCGGGGTTGACAGACACGTTGGGGTCCTTCCCTGTGAGCTTCTTCACGAGCTCTTGCACGGCCGGGATACGAGTGGAGCCGCCGACCAGAATCACCTCCTGCAGGTCGGAGTAGCTCAGCTTCGCGTCACGGAGGGCGTTCTCCACTGGGGTCTTGCACCTGGGGGAAGGAAGAGGGAGCAGAAGGGGGTTGCACGGTGTAAACAGTTATTTAAGGGTTGAGGAGTGTTACTGGGTGTTTGTGACCAGACAGAGCTAGATTCTTACGGAAGGCACAAGCTGAAGGTTTCAGAAACGAATTTGATGGTAATAAACGGCGGACTTATATTTCACCCGCTCGCAGAATCATGTTGTGTGCACGTTGAGTAAGAATGATGTGACCGTTCCATCCTTACAACTCGGAAATCCAGACGTTTCGTGCTCACCTGTCGAGCAGGTCGGAGCAGAGCTCCTCAAACTTGGCGCGCGTAAGGTTCGTGTCGATGTGCTTGGGGCCGTCGGCGGTCGCCGTGATGAACGGAAGGCTGAACGGAGGTAGGGGATTAGGGGAGCGAACGGAGAGAGGGCAAAACATGAGCATGAGAGCAGTGGTTTAGATTGGTCATCAATGTGGCTAGGTTTGTGTGTGGGATTGGGAAATTTCTGCATTCGGATCACGTGAGAAAAACATTCTCCGCTCAGATGTCAAACATTCCTGCTGCTCTCAAATTCCCCACACTCGATATCCCAAACCCTAACGATCCCTGCGTCCTCCACAATCGGAAAATATAACCTCCAAACACATCGATCGAAAACCCAACCTGATGGACGCCTGCGTGAGCGTGAAGAGCGTGAAGAGAGCGGGAAGGAGCCGTACCTGATGGAGGTCTGGGTGAGCGTGGAAAGCTCCATCTTGGCCTTCTCGGCGGCCTCGGTGAGTCGCTGCAGCGCCTGCTTGTCCTTGGTCAGATCCACGCCCTCGTCGCGCTTGAACGCGTCCGCCAGCCAGTCGACGATGCGCTTGTCGAAGTCGTCTCCGCCCAGGTGCGTGTCGCCGGAGGTTGACAGCACCTCGAAGACTCCGTCACCCACCTCCAGGACTGGCGAGGGAAGCACGAACGGGAGTGAAGAAAGAACACGGACGAGAAAGAAAGAACGCGAGAGAGATAAAGGGGCGAGTGGTGAAGAAAGACTGGAAGAGGGAAGACGGGAGGCGAGAAAAAAGGACACGGCTTCAAAAGCGGTTGACATTATTTCAAGTGCGACTTACCAGACACGTCGAAGGTACCGCCTCCGAGGTCGAATACCAGGATCGTCTCGTTGCTCTTCTTGTCGAACCCGTACGCGAGCGACGCGGCCGTCGGCTCGTTAATGATACGAAGCACGTCGATGCCGGCGATGCGACCCGCGTCCTTGGTCGCCGTCCTCTGGCTGTCGTTGAAGTACGCGGGAACGGTTACCACCGCCTTCGTCACCTTGTCGTTAAGGAACTTCGCCGCGTCGTCGACCAGCTTGCGCAGCACCTGCGCGGAGATTTCCTCCGCGGCGAACTGCTTCCCGATGGCCGGGCACTCGAGCTTCACATTCCCGTTCGAGTCGCGGATCACGTGGTACGACACCTGCTTCGACTCGTCCTTAACCTCGTCCATCTTCCGCCCGATAAACCTCTTCACCGAGAAAAAGGTGTTCTCGGGATTCACGACGGCCTGTCGCTTGGCGATCTGCCCGACGAGTCTGTCGCCGTTCTTCGTGTATGCGACGACGGACGGCGTCGTGCGCTGGCCCTCCGCGTTGGTGACGATCGTCGGCTTGCCTCCCTCCATGGCTGCGACTGCGGAGTTGGTGGTCCCGAGATCGATTCCCACCACCTTCTCGCAAACCACATAGAGGCGTCCATCGGACTTGGATCCAGCAGCCTTGCACCTGGAGAGAGGTCGGAGATATCGCAGAGTAAGAAGGGGACGAGGTCAGCGAAAGGAACCATTGTAACGAAATCGAAGACCGGAAACCAGAAGCACGTAAAAAAATCCACAACTTCAGCTTCCTCGTGACCCTTAAGCGACTGATTGGGTGATACAACAGATTTCATCAGCGTCGGGTTTGCTAGCTGGTGAATAAACCCTAGCGGAGTGGCGTACCGAAGTCTATTTCTATACAACAGTTTAATTTCCATTCGTTGGTAAAAGCGGGAAGAGCTTACCTGGCAGCCTTCTTGGCAATGGCGGCCTTTAGCGAGGTGGATCCTGAGAAGAAGTTGGCGTTGCGAACGCCAGCGGCCTTCTGAGCAGGCCCTGAGACGCGGAGGCCATTCAGGCCCTGCGCGGCCGCATGAACGGACTGTGAAACGGCAGCCATTGTTCTTTGACGAAGAACGAACGTCGGGTGTGGTGCGAGGTGAATCGTCAAACAGACTCAGGTGGGCGATTCTGAAGCTCAGTGAAACAGAGCTCGCTAGTCCGTGCGGGAAAAGAACCCAGAAATCAGGGATCAGGGAGGAGAATATGGACGGAAATTCCAAGGCCCGTAAGATTGGATAAGTATCGAAGGCACAAGGTGGTGGGGAGTTCCTAGGCGGAGGATCAACAGAAGCAGCTAGAAGCAGTAGAAATTGACGGTCGCACTTCGCCAAAAGTTCGTCAATTCGCCGCGAGCAGAATCACACGGGTTGTTACGGCTTGAGATCGTCAAAACGTTGCGAAAGAGAGTTGCTGAATGTGCTGGTAGTAGTCGTCAGAATGTTGAATGATGTGCTGACGGCCGCTAAGCTGGCTAATATACTGGCATCACACGTGGCGTCCAGAAGTGTCCCTCTTCCACGTGGATTACGGAATGAGTGCCGCGTCATTAGCGGCG